ATCTAAACTTAAATTAATTAAATTAATTCTCTTTCTACCAATTTATTTTGAAATTTGATTAATTTATTTCTCTTATAAAAATAATATTTTTATGTAAATTATAAAAATATCAATCACATTAATGCACAAAGTGTGTGACCCTCTAAGTTTTTATCACAATGGCAGTGAGAAATACTCACAAACCAAGAATGATATCTAGCAACACATCATAGCCACCCAAAATGATAGAAAAGTCTATGGCTTAACAACAAACCTTCCTATAACCGATGTACTTGTATAATTCAATCTCTCCATCATTGATATCTCCATCAAGCAAGATGTATGCTATATGTCATCATCCTTAAATCTTGATAAATCTTTCTCTAATTTCTAAGATAGACATGCTTCTTGAATGAACCTTTCATTCTTGTCATGGCCATTGACTTTACAAGTAGTCTCCTCTTAATCAAAGGGCTGGACATATCTTCTTTCATAAACTCAAGAGGGACAATTCCTATCTTGACCCACCTATTATTTTCATGCGATTTATGATATATCCAATAATTGTATTAGTTGCAACCCCTCAAAATGGTTTTTTTTTTAACAATATCAAAGGACACGAGTTCTTATATAGAATAATGAAGATCTCAAATCAAATAATTACTTACACTCAAATTATAACTACGAAGCTACTAATGACACGTGCATGTAGAGTTCTCATAAAGGGTCAATCTAGTACACTTACTTTAAATCATCCACATGTGATACATGATTTCATGAGAAAAAGTCTTACCATAGGTACCTTTAGTCCTTTGGGAGTCTTGAAATAAGAACTATGGAAAAAGATTGTGATGGAAGTAAAAACACTCTTAGTATAAAATGTTTTCTTAAAAGAAAAACCTACTTTCAAATTAATTTAAAATTTTATAGAAAGAAAATCAATTACCTGTAAAGGAAAATTATTTTAACAAAAAATATCTTAAGAAAAATGTCAAAATACTCAAAGTTATAAAATAAGTTAGGCTACGCCCATTTTAATTAATTTAAATATTATATATATAAAAGTAATTTATACAAAAATTATATGAGAGCAAATGCTCTTCAAAAACTTTTCAAAATAACAAAAGCAAAATCATCATTTTGGTAACATATTGATCTGCCTTCACATTAAACGCCCTAACGTCCTAGCTTCTACATAAAATGAGCATATGAGACCTATACCAAAAGTTCTCAAGTTGGAGATTGCTTCTTCAATCAACAGATCTCAAATGGGAGGCAAATATCATGAGCTAAAAGCCTAATAAGTATGAAATTAAAGCTACAAACTTGGGTCTTCAACCCCTAAACCTATACACACAAAGGCATGATAGACAATTGAGCCAAACCATATAATATTATAAATCTTAGTAATTAAATAATAATTCAGTATTATAGAACAATTCTTAGACAACTGAGCATGTCAAGAAATAGCCAATGACATTTAATTTAAACTCAAGTCATAAAATCATATGCTCACAAATGAAATGTCACAAGCAAAATGCATAAAATAAAATCACACAATGTTATAGAGTCCATTGATGTGTACTAGCAACGCTTGTATTGGAGCTAATCACGACACTCACCCTATTGTGCAAAGGTCCATTAAATACCCCGAAGGGTCCATTGAATACCCCACCTTTAAGTTTAGGTCCACTTACTCCATAACCACAAACACATACGCATGTCAAACAAATACAAAACTCATCCAAAATAATATAAAAATATTATTTCACATAATCAGTTACATTTCTAAAGTAATCCACTTTAAAATCCCATGCCTAACTATAGATTTCACTTACAAGAGTTGAAATTAATTTCTTCCTTAAACATTTGTAATTAATGCATGATCATATAATTAAGGAATATTATTTCCCATCCAAAGTCATGGACAGCACTCTAAATTTCAAATAAACATATGGAATTATTTTGACATATTAATTAATAAAAAAATCATCACACAAAGCAAGCACGTAGAGTCTATAGCAATAATAGAAATTATAGACGATAGATCTTCACACTAAAACCAATTATGAAATTAAAACAAATTTCTAAATTATGTCCCAAGATCGGTGCATACACCCAAAACCCAAATATTTCTAAATAAAATTTTAGTACCCCAAAAGTCCCTTAAACAAAGGTTCTAGAGTCAAATTTTACTAAGTTAAACTAATTTTTAGTATATTATAGTAAATCTATAATCTACCAAAAAACTCTAACCCAAATTTATAACTAAAACTCATACTTACCTATGGAAATCAAAGTACCAAACTGAAACAAACAACAGAATTGGAAAGGGATTTCAACTTGACGATGTGTCCCCATATAGCTTTAGCATAACTGTCCTCCCAAATGGAAAAAGAAAGATGGATGCACGATTAGCTAGAAGAAGAAGGAAAGTTGCAAAGGAATGGTTCTAAAGACTTTTTATTAAGTGCAAGCAAATAGTTTTACTCGGTAGATATAGTGCCACTTGGCACAAAAATTGGAGTAATTGAGTTAAACATCCTTCAACTCCTTCTAAGTTTCATTTACAACCCCCAAACTCTAAATCTAATCAATCTAATCCCCAAAACTTGAAAATAAAGGACTCTAATTTCTAATCTATTCACTAAAGTATATGGGGCATTACATCTTCCCCACCTTGAAAGATTTGCTCCACCAAATCATTAATTTTACTAGAATAGATGTGGATATTGCTCCCTCATTTGATTTTCAAGCTCCCATGCAACTTTATTTTCGTTATGATGCCGTAACAACACTTTCACCAAGGCATAGTCTTGTTTCTCTAAACTTTTTCTTCCCTATCCAAAATCTGCACCAGCTGTTCCATGTAACTCAAATCTTCCTTTAACTTTAATGACTCATGATTAATGAGATGTGAAGGATCCGACTCATATTTCCTTAAAACGGACGCATGACACACATTGTGCTCATTTGACAACTCTAGAGGCAATGCAATTCTATAAGCCACTTCACCTATTATTTTAAGAACCTCAAATGGGCCAATATACCTCGGACTAAGCTTTCCTTTTAAACCAAATTTGTACACTCTCATAATTGGTGACACCTTCAAAAAGACATTATCTCCAACTTCAAATTCCAATGGTCTTTCTCTATTATCTGCATAGCTCTTTTGTCTATCTTGAGCCACTTTAAGCCTCTATTGAATTGATTTCACTTTTTCTGTTGTTTTCTACACAAAATCAAGCCCCATTAATCATCCCTAACCAACTTCCACCCAACAAGTTGGATTTCTACATCTCCTACCATAAAGAGCTTCATAAGGTGCCATTTTAATACTAAAATGATAGCTATTATTTTAAGCAAACTCTGCCAATGGAAGATGATCATCCTAGGGAAATCTAATGCATAAGCTCTTCACATTGTTGTACCTATGATTTTGATGATTACAAAATACATTTGAGTGACTAATTGGTTTATTTAAGTGAGTAGTTAAGTTGCTAAAAGATTGCAAATAAACTTGGACTGTACTAAAAATAGACCAAAAAGATTGAAAATGTGCAGGGAGCCGGCTGTTAAAAGCTGCAACTGGCTCTGGTGAAATGGAAGTGTAGAGAGCCGGCTCTGGAAGTTGCAGTCGGCTCTATGGGTAAAGACTTAAAGGTCCGTTGTTTGGTGCGCATGGAGAAAAGACGCAAAGCCGGCTCTAACTTTGGAGCCGGCTGTAAGGCCGCATTTAATGCACAACGATCGACTTATTTGAAGAATAATTAATATTTTTTAGGTTAAACTCCTATTTTGATCCCTGAACTATTGTACGGACCCTCGATTTGGTCCCTGAACTAAAGAAAACCCTAATTTGGTCCTTGAACTATTGTACGGACCCTTGAGTTTGTCCCTAAACTATTGTACGGACCCTCGAGTTAGCCCTTAAACTATTATACGAATCCCCAATTGGGTCCTTATTGTTTACCAATTTAACCCCAACTTGGTCCTTCTGTTAAATAATAGCTCATGGACCAAATTGGGGCGAAATTGTAAACAGTAAAGACCAAATTGGAGGTCCGTACAATAGTTCAAGGACCAACTTAGGCCAAATTATAAACAGTGGGGACCAAATCGGGGGTCCGTACAATAGTTTAGGGACCAAATCAGGGATTTCTTTAGTTTAAGGACTAAATCAGGGGTTTGTACAATAGTTCAGGGACCAAAATGGGGATTTAACCTATTTTTTAAAGTCGAAATACCAAAGCCGGCTCTAGGTTTTTTGCAGCCGGCTGTGGAAGAAAACAAAATGTGCAGCAAACCCGCAAAGCCGGCTTTGCATTTTAGAGCCGGCTCTATGGAGAAAACAAAATGTGTAGAATCCCATAAAGCCGACTACAGAAATGGTGAGCCGGCTGTACAGAGCCGATTCTAGGAATCTAAGCCGGCTCTCCTAACAATCCTGCAACTCGAGCTTTGCATCCTGTAGAGCATTTAATGACCCCCAACAGCTAGAAACAACTATTTTCGAGTAAGGGTCTATAAATATGGTTGATAACAGATCTGAAAAAGTTTGGAGAACATTCCATTGAATATATTTACCTACCTACTTGAGCTTTAACTTGAGTTTTTGATCTTTGAGTGATCATTGCTTGTAATCCTCTTCTTGTTCTATTAGTGTATGTTCTTGGGGTGTGATTATTCCTTCAAGAGTGATCTATTGAGAGGATTTGTGGGGTTTACATTGTAAAGGGGTGAGGTTTGAGAGAAATACTCATCTTCTTGTAAAAGGATTGAGTGGCTCATTTAAGCCACCCTTATAGCCACCCTTGTCTTTCTTAGTGAAGAGTGTGGAGAAAATCCTTGGTGAGTGAAGCCAAGGTAGAGGACTAGGCTCCAAGTGGTTGGACCGAACCTCTATAAATTCATTGTGCAAGCTCTTCTTTTTTACTCTTTTTAACTTTGGTTTTGTGGTTGAAAAAAAAGGGGAGAATTTTTGGAACTCCAATTCACCCCCCTCTTAGAGTACATTGAGTCAACAATTGGTATCAGAGCAAGGGCTCTAATTTGAAGGTTTAACCACCTAGGAGTTGATCGGGAATGGCTCAATTTCTATCTTCTCAACCACTTGAAGGTTTGTTTACCACTAAGCCTCCTTTCTTTGATGGTACTAATTATAATTATTGGAAGAATAGGATGAAGGTCTTCATGCTTGCAAATGTGCCCAAGGCATGGGTTGTGACTATGAAAGGTCCATATGTACCGATGAAAATTGTTGGAGAAAGAGAGGTGCCGAAGGAAGAGATTGATTGGAATGATGAAGACTTGGAGAAGATCATGATCAACAACAAAGCAATTAGTATGCTTCAATGTGCTCTCAATCCAACGGAATATCATAGTCTCTGAGTGTGATACGGCTAAGGAGATGTGGGACATGCTAGAAGTCACACATGAAGGAACAAGCCAAGTAAAGGTGTCAAAAATCAATAGACTCATTTACATGTATGAGCTTTTCAAGATGAAACCGGAGGAGAGCATTCAAGATATGTATACAAGATTGAATGATATAGTCACCAATCTCAAGGCTCTTGGTAAAGTCTATCCTCCTTAAGAAGTGGTGAGAAAGGTTCTTAGAAGCTTGCCTAAGAGTTGGGAAGCCAAGAAGACGGCAATTGAAGAATCTAAGGATCTCAACACTCTCAAGCTTGAAGATCTCATTGGTAAATTGATGACATATGAGACAGAAGTTCAAGGTGATGGTGGAGTTGAAATAGTTGAGAAGAAGAAGAAAGATGTTGCATTCAAGGTTAGCAACCAAAAGGAAAAGAGTGAAGATGATGCTAGTGATGGTGAAAACTTCTCCTACTTAATCTCTAGAGAAGTAAGGAGATTTATGAAGAAGAACATCAAGAGCAAGCTTGCAAGAAGAGATGAAGGAGAATCCACCAAAAAGAGTGTGAAATGCTATGAGTGCAACAAGATGGGGCACTATAGAAATAAATGCCCCAAATTGAAAAAAGGTGAGAAGAAAGACAAGAAGAGCATGAAGAAGAAAGCATTTGCCGCCACTTGGAGCAATGATGAGACTAGCTCAACGGAAAGTGAAAGCTCCTTGGAGAAAGGTGTTGCAAATCTTTGCTTTATGGCTCAAGAGGATAGCAACAATGATGAGGAGGTAAACTCTAACTTTTCTAGTTCAATTAATGAAAGTTCCTTTGAGTATTCTTATGATGATTTATACAAAGTTCTTGATTGCTATATGAATGATATTAAGAGACTAGGGAATGAGAATCTTACTCTTACTAAAACTATTTCATTACTTAAAAATGAGATTGAATCTCTTTCAAAACAAAATGAAGTTTTAGTTAAAGAAAATGCTTCTTTAAATGGTGAGATTGCTTCTTTAAAGAATGAGGAAGTTAATGATGCTTTGGAAAAGGAAAATGAGGATTTAAAGAAGGAAAATGAGAATTTAAGGAAGGAAAATGAGGATGTAAGGAAGAAAAATGAGGATTTAAAGAGAAAAACTTGTGATCTTAAGAATGTGATTTCCAAATTTACTTTGAGTAAAGAAAAATTTGATTCTATCTTAAAATCTCAAAGAAGTGTTTATGACAAAGGGGGCATTGGATTTGATTATTCTAAAAAGCAAAAGACTTTTAAGACTTCCTTTGTAAGAGCAAGTCAATCCTCTCATCCTAAAGTTACTTGCTATTGTTGTGGTGCAAATGGACACTTTGCTTATGCTTGCCCTTTAAAACGATTAATAGCTCAAGGTAAAGTGAAACAAATATGGGTTCCAAAAGGAACCATAAGAACTAACCCCCAAGGACCCAAACAAGTTTGGGTACCTAAGATCAAAAATTGATTTTTGTTGTGTAGGTGTGCCTTGTGAGCAAAATGAAGAGCAAATGGTATCTAGATAGTGGATGCTCAAGGCACATGACGGGTGATCCTTCACAATTCTCCTCACTCATGCCCTTGGATGGTTGAACCATGACCTTTGGTGACAATGGGAAAGGAATTGTGAAAGGAATTGGTAAAATTGGTAACAAATCTATTTCTTTTGATGATGTTTGGTATGTGGATGGATTGAAGCATAACTTGCTTAGTATTAGTCAATTATGTGGTCGCATGCTTAATGTTGTATTTTTCAAGTCTCATTGCAAGATTATTGGTTCTAGAAATGATCAAGTGTTGTTTGTTGGCAAGAGACTTAAAAATGTGTATGTGATTGATTTGCATGACATTGATGCTAATATTTGTCTTGCTTCTATATCTCATGATGATACTTGGTTGTGGCATAGAAGATTAGGACGTGCTAGCATGAGTGTTATCTCTAAGTTGTTAAAGCATGATCTTGTTGATGGCTTGCCTAAGGTGAATGTAAATATTGATAATGTGTGTGATGCATGCATGAAGGGTAAGCAAATTAGAGTTTCCTTTAAGACTAAGAAGTGCATCTCTACAAATAGACCTCTTGATGGGAATCAAGATGA